TTGATGGGGATAAATTAAATAAATTCGAGTGAGGACTAATACGGTGTAACACTCTGTTTATGTAATACTATATGTTTTTATATGGGTAATGTAAATTTATGAGTTAGTTTCTTGAAAAAGACGATAATTACAACTACAAATATTATTTAATTGCGAAAACTAGGTTAGGTTAGGCAGGTATATATTCTAGGCTCTAGCAGTTTTGCAGCAGTACCAATTCGAAAATGTATATGATATCGAATAATATGGTTTTTCAGAGACGATTAGTTATTAAAAAAAACTTTTAAAAAATATAAACGATACCCTTGATTACAATTAATGTAAATATGCAATATTAATCACGCTTTTCCAACGGGATAACTTGTGAATTTAAATAATAATAATAATATAATAAYTTACATAAAACAAAATAGTTAGTATGGTACATTATTTAATATTATACTATAATAACTACGATAGGTAATATTATAATAATATATTATGTAGATTGTAGATATCTTAATCGAAAATAAGTTCCCGTTCGTCAATCGAAAGTTATAATTGCATCGGCGTACAACCGGAAGCAGTACATGAAAATAAAAATTGATCAATTGCCAATCGGATAAGTTTGATAATTGAAATAAATTCCATGTAGGTATAGGTAGGTGTACTTGTATATTTTACGAACCTAATTAATTGTTCGAGCAGTCATACATTTTATATTTTATTATTTCCAAATAATATATTCAATTATATAATGACATTTTTATAAAATGAAAAAACTTTCCAGTCAGGTGTTATTTTTGCAATAAATTACAAATATTGACCACCAACTACTTTTACGTTAGCTTAATATTATTTTGTACGTCTATAATTTTTAATTAAACGTTTCATTGTGATCAAAAAGCTAATTTTTCTCTACACAAGTAATTTACAAATTGAGTTCCCAAAAATTTATAAATYATAAACTTGGTTAGTTTTTGGGTTGTTATATGAAAATACAAATATTATATTTAAAAACAAATATAAAAGAGAACATCAAAGTTATTATGTTTTTAAACTTTTTATTATAGTAATTTTTGGTCTGAAGYATTTATAATAGAATTTAATAGTTTTAGGTGCTTAATGAAAAACAAAAAAACAAAAGATAAATATTAAATAGTTTTCACACTAATAATATATTAAATGTTCACTCAAATTAGCAAGTCATATTTTCAATCATAAKACATAATGGTTGATAATAATATAAGAAAAAAAAATAAACATTTGCACTTGACTACCAAATCAACCTTGAATGGAATGATAATCCCAAATATACTTAAGAAATTATTGAACCTATATTTAAAAAAAAAAAAAATGGTTTATTTAGCTTTAATAAAAAAATACGATTTAATTGGAATTTAAAAAAAAATTGATCAGCGATATTTTATATTTGGATAATGTTATGTAAAATATACACAAGAATTTTACAACATTTGTGAGTAAAGTTAGTATTAAAATGAATGAATTAATTACAATTTATAGTTATGTTAATTCTATAAAGCGTATTTTTAGTCAACAAAAAGTACCTACACAATCTTTAAATAGATGGTTAAAAAAAATTTTAATTTAAAAATGTTTTCAAATTTCTAAATCACAGGCCGAGACATTATCAAATTTAAAACAATGATCAATGTTTATAACTATAATTAATATTCAAGGTTGATAAAACTAATGCAATGTGAACTATATTTGGGTATATATTTTAAAACCTGTAAGTACAAATATTTGGCTTCTTGTCAAATACATTTTGTGTTTGTTATGTTTCGTATAATGATGAGATGGTCAAAATCGAATAATGGATTACATTACATGGCMAAGTTAAGCAATTCAAGTTAAACTATGGATTAACTGTTTTTTATGTTAAATTTTTAGAACCTATTAAAACTAATAATYAATAAATATAAACTTTCGACTTTTACTAACAGTAGACGTTGTTTGACACAGCTAGTAATACCTCTTCAGATTAACATCAACAAATATCCCTGCATCCCTTTTAGAGGTTTTTTTAACCCTGATATTATAATACATCTAAGGTTTTTGTGTAACGAATCAGTCAAATTGTACTAATACTTCTTCAGTAACACCAGTTAATTATATTCATAAACAGTGTCTCATAATGTATAAACTCTTAACTGTAGATTAGGGTAGTGACGTAGAGAGTTAGACGTTATGAAGGACACTATATATTTTTCTTAAGTCTAAGAGTCTTATATATATATATATATA